CTTCATATCAAAAAATATAAAATGTTTTAAAACAACTATGGATCTATTAAAATTAAATTTCCTTAATACTATGAAAAATATTTGGATCGAATACTTTTGGATTATATTTTATTTTTATGTTATTGTGTGTTATACTTACAATACCAGTGGTTACATCAATACCCAAAACCTTTGGGTCGTTGTATTTTTTTGGTTTGTTAGCACGATCAGGTGACGGTAACGTATCGACAATGCCAATATCAAGAATCCACAGTATACCATCTGGACCCAAGTACACATCCACTACGTTCACAAGTCCTTCACTATCACATAGACTTTCTTTGCCTTTATACAGTGTTGATTGCTTGGTAAATTGGCAATGTGCAAGAAGTGATGGATATGGAGATATGGAATGATAACCATTATCGTTATTGATTTTGTGTTGGGCATTGAAACTATTATTTAAAATCGTGGAAGTTGACGCACAATCAGTTAATGGAACATAACCTAAAGTAAACGGCACACCTGGCCTGTACCACAAGGAAAAATATTTTAAATCATGCGAGGCATTCAAAAAATTATAATCTATATTTCATTACTGTTACTTGTATAAAACAGTTTTTTTTATTGATCTAAACCCCGGCAACTGTGGCCATTAGCGTTTGTAGAGGAGTGCGGTTGGTTTGAAACACGTATGATACGAATACGTTTTATTTTTAAAAATCCCGGGTGGTCACCCATCCGGGAGGAAGCGGCGCTGACCTATGTGTACTCTCAGAGCGCGTATGCAACAAAACAATTATTTATAAATACTGCAATACAGAGTAGCATAATCCAAAAATATATAATATTATTTGAGTATACCGCACATTATGATTTATGACTGATAATAATTACTAATTAGCACTATCTTAATATATCTAATATAGTAATGTGGTACCTAGGTTTTTACTATTTGTTTTTTTTTTGAAATGTATATAAAGGTAACGAGTACAATTTTAAATAATTAAATAAAAAATAAATAGTAAACAATTAAACGCACACTTCAGAAATTCAGAATAGAACAAATAGTATTTAATCCATATTCAAACGGAAATAATATATCTAGGTATATTCTTATAAGGCTATGGATAAAAATAGCACAATTTAGTTCACCGTATTTTGCACCTATGAATAGGAAGGAGAAAAAGCTAAACTTTTGGAATCACCAGCCAAATTTATCAATTAGAGAACCTCGTGACTACATCTCCGCCACCATCAAATTCATCTTTACAACCAATTTAATCAACACGTTTTAATACATATTAACTGTTTATATATTGTAGTATTTGTTAGTCATGTTTACAAAATATTATAAGGAAATCTATCCTTATGACCACCGTTGCCGAGAGCAATTTAAAATTAAAAAATATATTAGCTACAAAAATTGAGGAAAGAAATTTAGTTTAAAAAATATTGTTTGGCTTATATGAGAATGAGTTATTTATTATATATTTACATATTTTAATATTATAAATAGATAACGAAATGCTAAATATCTCAGCTTACTAACTATAACAACATTTTCGTCCGTAATTCCCGAATAAATAAATTAAAAGTTTATTAAAGGTTAGGGTAAACTTTATAAGCTTATTACAAGGTTTAAAGTGAAGCAGATAATCAAAGTGTGTTTGTAATTTGTTTTAATTTTAAACATAGGTAATTACAAATTATTAAAATTAACACATAGTTTAATTACTGTTGTTAAAATAAGTTCTTAAAGGAAATACAATGTAAACATACATTTAAATAGATAAAAAATGAACAATTTGTTCTTACCATCAGATAAGAAGATAATCATAATTTTAACAAAAACCATTTCAAGGATCTTACAGAGACACAGAGTATAGCCGTAATCCATTTAATGAAATAGACCTTTTCACGAAAAAATATCGGTGTGATTATAATTAATTACGTATTGTTATCACGAAATGAAATCCACTTATTTTATACATTGTAGACATTTTTTCATGAATTGAACTCTCGAATTTGATGTCATGTAATACTTATCGTCATGTGGCCATCCAATTTGTCCAATTGTAATATTTTTATTGTTTATTACATTACGGTAGTAGGGTTGACATTTATTTACTATTTCGTTTTATATGATATGACAATTTTAAAATTTGACGTGTCTGCTTAATACAGTAAAATAATGTATAGGTACTATGTATGCCTATGCTCTTAAGCGTGAACGGGTCTATACACCGGCCCTGGGAAACTAGTATATAATCTCCTCCTTATCTAGTTATTACTAAAAACACTCAGAAATATCGGCTTTGCATCGGTCCAGTCAGAGATTCCCACATAGCCACCATGCTCAGTTCACCTCTATGGTCCTGTCTGTACAAGTGTATTATGTACCATACATTCGTACCTATCTATACCTATAAATAATTTAATATTGTGGATGTTATTAATTAGCCTTATTAAACACTTAAAGCGAAGTACTATTTATGTCCCGGAAAAAAGTCATAGTCGTAAATATATAACAATACAAAAGTGCGCTTGATTTGAGATATGTGTGTCCACTTAAATATAAATAAGCGTAAAATAACTTACTCTATAAGTAAGAATAATATTTGTGTGAAGATCATTGTGTGATGATAAGTGTAATATGGTAATGATGTTTAATTATTAGTATGTATATGAAAATAGCAGAATTTCCAAAGTTGCTTTTATTAGTTAAAAATGTAGCTATAAAATAAAAATGCGTTGTGTTACACAAAATTGAGATAAAAGATAGAGATGAAATTGTGATAGCAAAATCCTAAAAAATTACAACGTCAATTAATTTGAACGCTCTTTTTTTTTGAAAAACACAATGAATACCTTTTTTATTCTTTATTACCTAAGTGTTAAACAATGGTTTCTATTTTATGTAATTGTCAACTTTTACAAGGTAAAAATTGTTTTTGTGAAAATTACGGTTCCATTAAGTGGTTATGACGGTATGAGTGTATGACATATAAATACCTATATTGTAACATATATATATAATATACATAAACGTGCAAAAAATAAGTGAAAAAATGTACTTACCTATTCACCTACAAACCTAACAAGTTTTATAGATAGGTAGGTACCCACTACTGTGTTATTTCTGCAATTATATTTACTACTTTAAATCATTATTAAAAAATGATGAAAAGTCAACAGTCATATAAAAATTAGACCGATCTGCGAAATTGCAGCAGGTAGGTCGTAGGTAACTACGGTCATGTGCAGCTGCTGTGCAGTCATAAACATTTATCCCAACCAGATGTCTTCTACTCTGCGCATTTTCTCGACACACGGCGTAGGCACAGAGTACCTACCGTTTACCAACAGCAATAATATTATTATTATCAAGTATCGACTTACTTATATCTCGGGGACACGATAAACGCCCTGTCTCCGGCCATTTGCATACGGGTGAAAACCACGTTGTCCGGTACGTAATAAATGTGCGGCGGCGGCTTCGGCGGCGGACTGTCTGCGTCGCAATATGACGTCATCCCGTCGTCTTTAGCCGGCCAGGTCACGTAGTGTCCGTTCAAAAACCTGGGCATCAGACGATTTGGGTGTCTTTGGGTGTCGTTATTGGCAGTCGCCCCTACACGGTGCCCGATGTCGACGTCGAAGACGCCGTAGAAAATGATAATGGCGGTGATGGTCAGACGACTTAACAGCAGCGAATTATTGTTGAACATCGATGACGCGGATATCATTGAGTTTGTCTTCTGACCACTTGTCGTCTGCAGAATTTTTATAGAAACGCATTGATCCACCGTGATATAGACAGGCGAAACAAGCGTCGTGTGTTATTTTAGAAACCGTGTGTTTGGACAGACATTTTTTAGGAAAAAATAAATGTACACGTATGCGCTTAATATCAATTACTAATAGAAACCATGTAGATAGTACTGTGGTTATTGACGTAGAAACGATGGCGACAATAAAGATTTACAATGTAGATATTCGTTATTTTTAATGATTTCAAATGAAACTTGTTAGTTGTTGCTCGTCGTCAGGATATACCTACTACAGTTCAGGATACAGGATACAGCAGAATATCAAATTATCGTTTAGTTAATGTTTTTTAACATTACTTCGTTGGAGCTCCCTACACAAAAATTTTAAAGTCTTGTAGGTATGTGATATGGTATTTATACTTGGTTGTGAAGCCAAATGTAAACAAATTGATGAATCGTTAAGTGACTGATTTTATTGAAAATGTTGATGTATCTAAATCAAAAGTCGATCGATTAGTTTCCGACCTATTAAAATGTTTACTGATGCTGAAGATAATATTGGTAGTTAATTATACTCCCACCATACTAATTTATCGTTATCACCGATATACGCGCTTAATGTATCAAGAAATAAGTGTATGTTTGTGTGAGTTTGTACACGTTGTAACTTATTTTAACTAGAACTGGACCCATGCCTATACAAATACTTTTCAAATACATAAAATAATAAAACAGTGAGCTTTTCTGAGGAGGTAACTCATTGCGAACAATTTTTTTTTGATATTCCACATAGAGCACTTACTCTATGATATTTTGTAATTAATATATTTATACGATAGATACTCAATTTTATGATTTTTGTTATTAGAGAGAATTTTCGTAAGATATAATAGCAATACTAAGGAAAAATAAGTTTTAATTTTTATAATTGAAATTTTCATGAATTAATAAAAAAATCATCTGTACCTACTTTCAAGTGTCAATATTACCATATATAGGTTATGGAACTTTAGGGAAAATGGTTTTGGGACGAGTGGACAACTGATTTTGATACTAGTAAATTAAAACTGGCTTTCCGGTATTATCATTTTTGAGTTTGTATATTTATTTTTTAAGATATTTTGAATCCAAATGATATTTTGTCTTTATATATATATATAAACTACTTAAATTATTATAGATATTATAATCATCGTTATTTCCATTTGTAAAAATTAAATAGGTACCGACGTACCGTTCATAATTTTAGAATTAATAAATTAATGTCAAACTGAATGAAGACTGAAGATTACACTAATAATTTGTCACATAACATATTTATTATCAATTATTCATAAAACGGCTAACCATAACCGAAAAATAGTCGTCATAATATTGAAATTAACGTAAGCCAAAGAGTGAGAATATTTCTAGTTTTATAACATACCTAGTCAAACATTATTAAAATGTATTAAAATATTAAAGTATTTTGGATGGTGGTTTTAATTGAACTATAGTTTCAAGACACCCAAAATGTTGATTTTTTTTATCTGTCAGAAATACACGAATTTTATATGATCCATAAGCAAATTTCTTAGGGATATAATTGATATTCTCCAAGTCTGATGCATTGAAACCAGTTGCAATGTGAACGCCCTTAAAAAATATAATATTTTAAAATTTTTTTAACCGTAGATATCTAATTCAAATGTATGTGCGTTTGATATTTATACTTTCTATGTATCCTTATTTTTAGATATATACTAATAATATATAATTTACACACCACGGGTATTGGAGATTTTAAATTAAATCCAAGTCCACTAGTATCAATATTACTAAAAAAGTTCTTTGTTGTTGTATATCCTCGTTCTGCATGGAATATATATGCATTGTTTTTCCAATTTCCATCAGCCCCTCTGGTGGCAGCATTAGCACCGACCTATAGAAATAATACTTAAGTTTATTTTGGTATATTTAAATAAATACAAGTAACACAAAATATATGGTTTGGGACTCTGGGTTAGGACTCTGGTCAGGAGAGAAATCAGATCAATTTGAAGTTACTAAAAGACGGACCAGGATGTATTTAAATTTAAAATCCAACTCGAGTATCAACACTTCAGATTTATGTATAAATAATCAAATAAAAATCATAATGTATCGAATACTTAATATAATAGCAGTGAAACAACCATATCATTAATGATTTCTTGAGGTTGTTGAATTGTATGATTACTAAATATCTGCTTAGTAATTACCTACATACTCCAATTAGTCCTACTAAAGTTACGATTTTTCATCTCCTATTTTTTAAAAACACTTTGGTAAAGGCTATGACGTTATAAATGATTTTCTTGCAAATCATATTGAAATATAAATCACAACATACAAATACACGGTATAAATCATTATGTATCAATTTTTATCTTACAGAAAGATTGTCATCAAACGGTATTGAGAGTGATATATTTCCTTTAACTTCCATTGAACCATCAGACATTTTATTTAAATAATAGTTTGTATTTATTTTATTTTCTTTGGTGGGATTGCAATTATACATATTTTTGAATTCTGCTCGGTATTCGCCCTAAAACAATATTATAAATAACCAATTTAAAATGATTTGTTAGTGTTCAATCATAAAAAAAATAGTTCTAATTTTCAACTCTATTCTTTGTTTATCTTACTTCCCAATAGCCTAGAAGCACTTAAACATAATCCTAATCCCACAACCTGACAAATCTCCTGATATTTCGTTTTCTTATAGACCTATTTCTCTCCTCCCCAAGTTTTCTAAAATATTTGAAAATCGTTATTATATAAGGCTATTACCGCTATTGAACAAATCCAATATCATTCCAAACCACCAATTTGGATTCAGGTCCAACTGTCCAAGCACTCCACCATACATCAACTTCACCACACTTAAACTCTACCAGCATGGAATCAAAACTTTACTGAGCGGCTGTACTCCATGAAGTGCCTTAGTAGTCCTTCGACAGGGGCGGCACTAATGACTTTTATTCAAACTCAAAAAATTCCCCCCTGCACCTTATCACCTTTTTCATAAAATCATACCTTAAAAATCGCACTTTCTCTGTCCGACATAGCTCCCTTAGTCCCTTCCTATACTCTATAGTCTATATTCATCTATGACACTCCGATTTCTCTACATACAATACTGGGTACTTACGCAGACCACATTATAATATTGGCCTCCAATAATGACCCCCTGATAGTGTCTCAATGGCTGCTAAATCATCCAAACTTGATTAAATTATGGTCAAACCCCTGGAAGATAAAAATAAACGAATCAAAATCATCCTTTATCATGTTCTCTCTAAGACTAAGTGACTGCCTCTCTGTATCGCTCAATAACAACGTAATTCCCACTACCCCTTCAATAAAATACCTAGGTTTGATATTTGACAGACTCCTAACAGGTTCATATTGGGCCCACAATACCTTAAAAACAAAAGAAAAACAGTCAACTCCGAACTTCACTTGCTCTGCCCACTTCTACGATCTAAGACAGTAATCAATAATAAACTAATAATAAACAAATAAATTATCAGACCTGTTTAGTTCTACGGCATCCAGATATGGGGATCTGCCAAATCCTTCATCACTAAAACAGTTCATGCATTCCAGTCAATCTGTCTGCTCGAATTGTTTCTGCTCCATGGTTCATCGCGAATAACAATATCCATAAAGACTTAAATATTCCATCGTTTTCTCAACTTACTAAGGCTCACTACGTCACTTTTCACTGTAAGAATCCATCACAATAATCCACTAATAAAAATCCTATCTGCTTTTACAATTCCCGATAACCCTCAGAGACGTCTTAAACGAACCCGACCAAGGGATCTTTAAATTTAATCTGTCTGATGGCACTACTGAGTGACCTCCCAAATCTGTAAGTCTTGCTATGTATATATTAACTTACTTGGTAAATTACTTATTGCACTAAAATATGTGAATAGATTGTAATTATATTTTAATAAAAATAAAAGTTTTTTGATGTAGTGAAAATTTTTCTATCGACATAACTTAAAAAAAAATAATAATCAAAAATTTCATATACCTATAAATACCTTAACATGAGTCAAAATATTTTGAAAATGGTATGGTGTATAGAAAATGCGAATGTAAACATTCAGTGAAAATTGAAATTTTGGTTTTACAACAACAATGTTAGGTAACCATTATATACAAATATGTTCAATAGCAATACATGTCATAGATATTATACTCAGCTACTTACTATTAAAGGTGTCAATTTTGGTAAAGGTTTATTTTTTAATTGTGGTTTAACACAACTTACGAAAATTAAAACGAATATCACCGAAAGTTTCATGTTATATTATTTTTGTTAACACGTATATTATTATAATATCTGAAGTAAAATCCTCTTTTTGACAAAAAACAATTTGAATCAATATTTTTATACTTAACAAACAATACAATATTTTTATCTTATTTATTAATCTTGTTTCAAACATTCTTGTTAAGACCGTAATGTATAGTAATTTTTTTTTTTAATGCGTTTGAATATCTATGGTATAAATCAACCTATTATTAATAATACAATACCAGGATTATCGATTAGGAATATATGATAAAACTGTATAAGGTACATAGGTAATAATAATTTTATATAGAAATGAATCCATGTATTTTCAATAGGGTATTTCATACACAATACTCCAATTATTTAAATCTATTTATTTTGTACCACTGGTCCACAAATCAACTTCATTCCAAGGTTTAGGCATCATCATGTGGTTATATAATTAAGTTACAGTGAAACTTTCATAAAATGAACTTTCATTTTACAGCATTTTATGTTTAACGAAAATTTTATTTTATTTTTTGATGATACAATACCCTAGGTGACATAATGGGTCATTGGGCTTACAAATAATTTAAATCCATAACATATTATTATGTTTACTTATTCTAAATATGAATTTTAAATTTTGGTTTAAAAATTGGCGACTGTGCTCAATTGGATGAACGAATCGAACTAACGAAAATGTTATAAGAACCAAACCAAATTAGAACCGTACCTATTATATAATTATATTTCACAAAATTCTCTATAGTATGAATTTTTTTTGTTGCCTATACGATTTTTTAATAGGTATGGAAGTTTCACTGTATTAATACTGTTACAACTGATTAATTGTCTTTTGTCACATGATAATACAACATAATAACTTATGAATTAAATAAATTTATCTATGAAAAATAAACAGAAGGTTATATATATACATAAATAAATATAAAGCAAACAATTTAGCTATTAGCATGTTTTTAAGTAATCTTAGAGTAAAATCACTCATTACAAAAAAGATAGAGAACAATATTTTTGAGGGAATGACATATCGATTTGTCTAAATATTTTCTCAAAACAATTTAAACATCATTTAAATATACAACATTTTTTTGTTTATTTTGAAAGTCGAATACAAAGTCAAATTCCAATAAAATATAAAATCAATATGACATTCCCTCAAAAATAGTATTCTCTATCTTTTTTGTAATGGATGATTTCACTCTAAGATTATTTACAAACACAGAAAAAATGATTCTGCGTAAATGTAGTTTCCATATCACGCGTGGGCCAGAGAGAGAGAAAACAAATGGTGCGCTGACATCCTCTTAAAGAATAATATAATTTGGTAAGTAATATTTGTTTAATCTGTGGCACCAAAAATATAATTAACGAGAGTTCAGATTTAGCATGTAAATTATAATGGTATAGGCATGCCGTTTGAATGAACATTAGTGCATGATATAATTGTCACTTAATACCACAATATTATGACTTGTAGGTATGTTTAGAATCTCATATCTGATATCGAATAATAAGGCACAACTCGAGCGTCTCGAACCTTGACTGACTAGCAACATCGGCCATTATCATAAAAATATATAATTAAACACAAATAATCATCAAATACAATTTAATTCTAGTGATGATATATAATGTATACATTTTTTTTTAGTTATTTTGGTATAATATTCAGTTGTAACAGTTATACTAGGTAATTTATATATTAAGACAATTTAAACATTTCTCATTTTCGTATTAACTGTACTATACAAATTATGCAACCGTAACTTTGGTTTTTTATGTCCTTCAAACCAGCACGAATTTTATATGTTCCATAAGCAAACGTCTTAGGAATATAATTGAATTTTTCAAAGTTTGATGCATCGAATCCAGTCGCTATGTAAACACCCTGAAAGAAAAAATTGTCTTATCAGTTATCATGCACCCATATGGAAATAATTAAAATAATATTAATCATCGTTGGGTAGTACCTATGATTATATTGACTAGTATTTTTTCTATAAATTATATATAGCAAATTCATTGTATCTTTATATATACAATATACATTTTACATATATTATATAATGTATAACCAGCTAACCTCGTGCACTTCGTTTTCCGTTAAAAATGCCAACACTATATGATTCAAACTTTTGTTCTATTCGCTATCTAATATTAGGTGTTCAAAACAAGTCCCCCCTTTACCAGGACCGATTTGTTTGAAAGTTATGTACCCAATTTGTGAATCTATTTTTAGAATATGCAAATCATTTCCTTGTACGGCGTACACAAAATGAGATATGGGGGCCAACTACAAGCAGTCTCCCCCTTTTTGAGCTACAAATTTCAAAATGCTATCAACATTTTTCAAATATTTCACAAACATTTGCAAATCAGTTTTCAGAATTTGCAAACCATTATTTTTGTTTTAGCGAATTTTACAAGTTTTTTTGGTAGCCCCCGACTTTATCCGATTGATTCCCAAAATGTGCCAATGTTTTGAAAATAAATTTTAAATTGGTTTATAGATAAGTAAATCTAATTTGAATAAATAAATCTAAATTGAATAAAAAAAGCTAATTAAATAAGATCATAATATTAGATGTTTTATTCTACTTGTCTATTTTTCAACATAGCTTCTTTAAGTTTCGTAAAATCACGTACGTGTTCAAAACTTAAAAATTTTCCACCAATTATAACAGTTAATTGTAAGTAAAACAAACATTTTGATTTCTATCGACTATCATGAATCTAAAAATACTTGAGTGCTGCTATATATTATAATAAAATAAATCGAATTTTCATCAACTATGAAATTGTATGACATTTTGTGTATGAGTGGGCATATTATTAATATATTATGTATACATCATCATAATATATATATATATATGTATCATTTTTAAAGTGAAACTTTTTTAAGTGAGGTAGAGTAAAATGGATTTGTGACTCACTCGACAGGATCCAATCGGATGATCGGATTTTGCAGGCCTGTCGTCGTGTTCTTTCTAGTGCAGTTAATATGCTAGCACAGTTGCACAGGCAAACTGGGCAACTGACTGGCTGGTGAAAACGTCACTGTTTGTTCACCATAATCTAACTCTATATAATATATAAAAATAACCGGACCGCAAAAACATAGACCCTAAACTACTAGACGAGAACTGTGTAATAATATATCTTAGTGATGTAGCCTGTTCTTATGACAATATACAATAATCTCAATATCTGTATTATATCTTACGCACAGAGTAATAATATGTCTTACGCTACTACCCAGTACCATGAATTAAGATTCATGCCCAGTACCCCGCACTGACGTGCGTACGAGTAATCGAGTAATCAAAAACCGGTCTCTATGGTGTTAAGCTTTCCATACACTCATTGCTTATCTAGTAGTGTAAGGTATATGAACAAAATCCAGTCCTCTGTTCGGACCCCGAGGTTTATATGGTAATACATAATAGGTAACACAGACTAAGGATATATATTTTTTACATAGTCCGTGATAGGTAATCGTCTGTCTTATCAGCTTATCTTTGCATAATAATAATAAATTAATTTCAATTAAATATTTTTTTTTTTTCATTACAAACTTAATATTTGACAGTGATGAACCTTCTTTTCATACGCTCTGTAAAGAAGTTTTACTTTATCCAAGTGTGCTATTGCAAACACGCACTATTTTCATTTTTTTTTTAACATAATGATATTTATTAATTGTTAAAAAATGCTTTTTGTCATTTTCGCTATTTTTGCTGTTTTTCATTATTTGTTGTTATTTATATTGTATCGCTGTTTTATATTTCGTATGTTAATGTAGTCGCTGTTAGAATTGTAAGTATTTTTGTAAATGATAAAATCACACAAAATTAAATATACATACCTCAGTTATGGGACATGTACAATTATACCCAAGGCCACTTAAATCCAATTGACCCACGAATTTTTTAAATGTTGAGCACGCTTTTGCTGACCGGAATAAAAATGAATTTTCTTTCCAAGCTCCATTTGCTTCTTTAACCGCAATATTCACATCTATCTAGGATGATAACAATTGCATAGTTATATTTTGCTTCAAATATAAGTTAGGTAATAGGTAGGTACATATAAAATATACACATTCTAATACGTTAAGTGACATGTGGTACAAAATATAACTATCATCATTATAAGAAAAAATTTAAGTTAAAAGTAAAAACATTATATGTGTAGGACGTAGCTACAGCAAAAATATTACAATGTTGTAGAACTATGTGGTTTTTACGTTTTACCAGGCCCATACGCAGGATTTCTAAATGGAGGGGGAAAAGTGTCGAAAAATAATGTATAAAATAAATACAAGAATTATTAAAATATAGTAATATATAGTTATTTATATTAATTTAGAAAGTATTTTAAAAATGTTTATAAGGTAATAAACAAATATTGATGTTGGTATACTTATAGTAAGTATGTGTATATAATACATATAATATGTGGATTTTTTTCTGGATACATTTAGTTAAATAAATGTCGTGGAGTTCGTACAGTGGACAGTAAGCTGCTGGTAGAGCAATTATCGCGTTATACTATCATCGTGTGACCGCGGCTTTAGAAATTTTCTGGATGAATAGATCACATGTGGAAATTTAAATCATTATTATATTATATCAAACACAATAGCCTTTTTTTGTTCTACTATTATTGAATAAAGTGTTCGGAATAAAGGAAGTAATTAGTGCGAGAGTGTTAGATTTTGTTACAAGTATTCGAACTATAGTAAGACAATAAGCTATTTTTAGATTTTATTCTTAAAATTGATTTAAAAATAATAAAAGCTACACATATAATAAATAATGGCGTGCATAGTATTTATAACTGTTATCTTACAAAAAGAGAATCGTCTATTGGTTTTACAAGTGTCATATTTCCTTTAATTTCCGTTGAGTTATCTGACTTCTTATTTAAATAATAGTTGAATTGTATTTTATCGGATACTGCATTGCAATTATATAATGATTTGAAATTCGTTCGATATTCGCCCTAAAAAAGCAAGTTTAATAATATGTTAATACCTGATAAATTTTGACACTTTCAGTGTGAATAGCTGTAAATGATCAATTTATCATTTACAAAATTACCTTAAGAATATAGTTAATATTAATTATTAATAATGCTAAGTATTAAAAATAAATTTTAATCATTTTCATTGATTTAATTTAATCTCTGTTCTATATAATATATTGTAATATTTAATCTGAAATTATAAATATTAATATATATATTTTTTTTTCAAATAACATTTCCAGTACCTTCTTACTGAATTTGTACCAATGTTTTCAATACATAATGCCTTAAACTCAAGAGTAAAATTAAGGTATTAGTTTTAGTAAACGCTTTAGTCCCTTTATTTAAAGTTTAGATGATATAATTAGTACTATGATACAAGTAATACAATACAAATGTACAAATGTATTTTTAAACGTTGTTCATAATATTTACAAAATTGATTATTAATTATTTGTAATTAATAGTTTAATCACCAGGAGATCTATTTAAGTGAGAAGTGTTTACATTAATTATTTCAAAAAGTTTCAATTTTAAAATATTTTTTTACATAATTTAGGAATTTCAAAATACAATTTTCAAAAAAAATTGTTTTCAATTTTTATCATTATAATTTTTTTTCTTTCTTGAAAGACCCTATATATTTTTAATTTTATATTATTCCAAAGCAGAATTTATATGAAGTATTTCAGTACATAAAAATCAAATTTCAAGGTTAGGTGTAGTTCATTAGTTATAACTTATAATAACCATTTAAAGCTTAAATGAACAGAGTAAATTGATACAAGGGCCACAATTAAATCACTACTCCACTTATAAAAAATTTGAATACTTATAACTAATGAAATACTAGTCTGAAATGTAATGTCTTATAAACTGAAATACTTCGAATAATATTCTGTTTCAGAACATTAAAAATGTATGCTGTCATTAAAAAAATGTGAACAATTAAAAAAAATATAATAATCATTCAGAAATGTTGTTTTGAAACGACATAAAATTATACAAAAAAAGATATTTTCAAAAAAGTTGAAACCTTTCGAAATAATGAGGGTTGACACTTAGATGGATCACTTTGTATAGTCCTTACTAACGGAATTGATTAGTTAATTATTAATGTAGGTACTAATAAATATTAAGAAGTTATTACAATGGAAAATGCTGTAATCTGTTTGGTCTAATATTGTCAATTTTTCATTATCACTAAAATTTACAAATCGACTTACCACTGGCAGTTTTAGGAAGACATTTTCATTCCTTTTGCCCGACCTTACACTGCCTACAAGGATTAAAATTAATATGACTGATTGCATCATATTTTATTAGTTGTTTAACGTAGGCTCAAGGTATACAATATTTCTATAATCCCATCTGAAATGAAATTCACTTTTTGGCAATAGAACTCGTATCCCAATTTAATATATTATATACACTATACAATATAATTTAATCGTGTATATTAATCTTTTTTTCATACATTTTAATTCATTGAAAACTCACGGTTAGTGCATTCAATTGTTTTTTCGACATGTCTAATGAAAAATATCTATACTATTGATCAACTCTATTGTCTATAACACAATAGCTACCTACATAATATCATCGGTTATATAAACACCATTACTTAATAAATTATTTGTTTTTATTATGTTTTTTATTCGCGGTTAAGCATCAACAACTAAGGTTATTGGCTTACAACGATATAAATATGGTTGTATAACAATAAATACTTAGGATTCAAAATATATTTATTATATCACATTATTATTATGATAAAACTGTTAGTAACTAACTGATATGAAACTGATGAATTAATTTAGTTAGAAAAAAAGAATACCTTTATTTAAAATTATTTAAAAAATATTTTCTGTATTCGCTCTCAATTATTATTGTATTTAGAACTGAAAAAAGTTTATGAACCCAATTTATAAAATAAAGTACAAAACCCTTGGTATTTATACGCAATATTATATACATAGGTATACTCATATACGCGGTTATTTGTTATTTACGATGATATTAACAATATAAAGAGTTACAGACCAAATTAATTCGGATTCCCTTACGAATAAATTGTTGACGTTTTCTCCATTAAAATATATTTAAAAAAGAACGATGTCTGACCGTGGTTTATGAGTAATTGACATATATGACTGCAGTGGTTGTGAACGGATTCTTTTGAACTATTACTTTTCTTTTGAAAACGCAGCACTCATTTTATCGGTTCAATGCTCAAACCTATTGAAAACATTTCCGTCATTAGTAAAAAAAAAAAATTTTAAAAAAAATTGAAAAGTATTTTTTGTAATAGCATTTCGCGACTATCGTGGGAATATCACGCAGTATATATTACACAATTCTGAAATTTTTCAATTGGATTGAAATTATGAATAAATAACCCTATGGTTAACAAACTTTGTAAGGTAGTTTATTTAATAATTGTTTAGCTTTGTCATTTAAACCATTTACACTGTAACTTTTTTTTCAGTAAAGACATTTACATTTTCCATCATATATCGATTAAATATGTCAGATAGTTAGAGAACTATTTCAGGTACAAAATATTACGTTATATTTATTTAACGTTTATGGTACATAACATATAGGTGCTTGATGGTATTTGTACTGTAGGTTTCTTCTCTTTATATCATTAAATATTGTAAATAAGAACCTTTGTGATATGAAAATAGATAGGTGAAGTTTAAAACCATAGACCTTTATAATACTAGACGAGCAAGCGTTTATGGAAGGTGTAACAACACGAAGTGAGCTTTTTGGTTACTCAATTACTTGTAAGCACAGTAATGTGGGGTACCTAGTAGGGTTAGATATATAGATTTCTGTATTTTTTTAATTGAGATACGTAGGCACTAAGGTATGTGCTTAATTAAAAAAAAAAATATTTTTAAGACGAAACATTGTCATTGATATCCTTGATTAGTTTTAAACCAATGTGAATTATTATTTTTAAGGCTAGACTAGGGACCTCGTGCTTCAAAAAACCAAATATGTATGCATTTATGCTCAGAAAAATCTCTTAGAATGATTAAAAAAATCAGAATAATTAATAAGTATTGATATATAAATTGAAAATATATGGAATATAATATAAATTTATTGGTTATAAGGATTGTAGCACAGATTATTGGTGATATTCAATATAATCCCAACTGTAAAATTATTGTATATACAAATACAAATATATAATGTATACAATATAAACAACTAAAACAATATTGAAGACATTTTTTCAATTCTTTTTTTTAAACATTACAATACTAATTTAAAAACAGCCAAAAATGTACTCAAGATTCAAACTTAACAAAATATAATCTAACAAGTGAAAAAAGTTAAATAAGCAAAATGTATGAAATAAAAATTCTATGAATTCGTGTATCCTAGTATAATTATTATGTTATATGAACCAAGTTTCTTTAATGTAAATCTATGTTTTGAACGATTTTTAAGAGAATATGCTGATCCCTATGGACATTAGTCCTCGCAGCATATATATATTATTATAAGTTTTAAAGCAACAATAAAAATATTTTCAAAATTTATTGAATTTAATGATAAGTATGCTAAAATGTTTACTTGATTTTATAGACAATTCAAAATCAGTATTTTGCTTAAGATTATTTCTATTTTTCCAAGAATGTAATATAAATTATAATACATCATACATTATAATATAATGCTAAGTACGTACCAATACAAACAACACGTGAAAACGTCCAATTTAAATGTGGTGTTTGATGGTTATTGAGTTTATTACAATTTATGAAATCTTCATATTATTTTAAAATAAAAATCTCTCATCAATTTTGTTTTTATATACTGTAATGGCTTGCTATGAAATAAATAACATAGGTACTATTTCTCAAATCATTTCTTAAAATTGACAATTGTATAATTCATAAACCATAATTCACATCGGCTGGTTAAAGATATTCTCGAATGTTTAAAAGTAGAGTGTCGAAATGGTTCAGACAACAGAATATATGAAAGCAAAATACATAAAATCAACTTGTGTGAAATTATTTGACCATTACATCCATACCATATGTACTGTGGTCATTGACCCAGATACACAGTTCACAACCCAATCATACAAACGTCGAGCACATATTTTGTTTGGCTATCACATTTTGTTCAACACAACTGACTATTGCTGGCGGTCAATTTTCCCCTTATTGTTATCCTTCTTAATTCTTATATTTTTCTACTCCCCTTTCCGACAAATAATGGCAATAGCTTGTGTTATGATTTTGGGAAACACAACCTTCCAATCAATGAGAATCAATGTGTTACGACCGTAAAATACTGAATTATACTGCCATATAGTTATAGTCTACAGTTATTCCACGAAATCCTACAACGAATGTGATAAACGTGGGTTTTCAATAACGTATAACACGGTAACAGATGAATAGTAATATATTCAAATCGATGTATATAAATCACGTACACTATGATTGGAATAATAGCTGCCCTAATTAGGTTTTCAAAATGTAAAAGAGAACCATATTATTTGTATAAAATACATGTGTCTAAATAATATGTTCGCTGTCCCGTTGACGCTTATTGTATTATGTACGTCACGTAACTATCACAATGATTGTATCAAAAGAATAATATGTATTCGTATAGCAAAATGATCTGATAAAATGTTTATCCGACTTAATTCGTATTGTTGTTCTGTTTTTAACATTTGCAATTATGGTTTTTGTTATTCTAATAAATATTACAATATCATACATAGTTCACCTTCACTTTAACTGTATTATGTTTTCAAAATGTTTTTTGTTATTTTAAGGAATTTTATTTGTAGTCAAGGATAATATTACCATTAGGTATACAAATAGATTTTAAAACTTAAACCAAAACAGATATATAACGGTATTATAAAATTCTAATCAATGTTTAGTATTTGATTGTACTCAATCGAATGCATAATGTTATGAATACCATAAGCGGGAACTGGAAACGAACCAAAAATAACCAGTACTGGAACTCAAAAACCCTTAAAATATTGGGAGCTGGAACGTTTGCAATACTGAGTTTAAATAACCTGAACAGAAACCAGAACCTATATGGCTATATTATTAAATAAAAACATCTAATTTTATAATGATAAATAATTTTGTTTTTACCTTCATGATTCTTATTTCGTGAATGAGGAATAAACTAATAAAGTATGCACTAATAGTGTACTCGTCAAATAGCTATTTATATAAATTTTTTATGTTGATATGTGTAGTGTGTACCTATTGATTATTATTTTATTTACGTAGACATGAATAAGTTGCACAGAAACTATGGAAAACACTAAAAAAAAATTCGAAGCTGTCTTATACCGGTTATGACTGGAATCATCCTAATATTAACCCTCAATTTATATTTTTCAAAAACCAGAACCGGAACCAGATAATTTTAATGAAATAATTGAGTTCTGTTTTCGACACTAAAATACATCAATAATTTTTTTCCCCTTAGGTTTTGTTTACACGATGTACGTAATACATACTACTATGGGTATATCAGTATGTTTTTCGTACCTATAGTATAACACGATAGATGTCATTTCAGTAATGAAATCATAGCTAATAAATAATAATCACTGGCCCGATAGATTAGACATGCAGTCGTGTATGCGTATGCGTGTGTGTGTGTGTGTGTGGGTGTGCACAAACTCCATTCAAAATGTGTTGTGACTGTCCCCATGTCTTATCACACCACGGTCGCCGTCTTGAATTATTCCTTACAAGTTCCAGACCCTTAATAGTCGTCGTTGACGGCTGTTTTCTATCACGTTCGCAATTCTAAGTCGTACAGACAGACAGACGGGGCGCGTCTTTTTTTCAACACACATTAATGATGTGATCACAAGACACCGCCGTTGCACACACACACACACACACACACACACACACACACACACACATCGGTGATGAGAACTTAAAATCGATGGTTACAAGAAAGCAGTACTGACTGCAGCACGCCGCAGTGATTGCGAAAATTTCAACATAATAGCAGTAGGTACCTACCCACACCTAATATAATCCTCTTTGCGCTCGAGGGTGAGTGTGGTTTTATAACGCTGCGATACAATCCGCGACCGTTTTAACGCGTTTTCAGGGTTCCAAACCCTATGTAGTGGGGGGTTTTTTTTTTACTTTTCCCGTCGACCTCGTTAAACCCGAACACCACGATACTTCTCGGCTTTCTAGCGATTAATGAGGTTTTTTTTTATTTCAATCGCACTAAGCATGCCAGATTTTTGGTTGCCAAATGTTTCTTCAGCTCTGTTTCACAAAAAAAAAAAACTACCCCAGACAATAATATCGATGTCGTCATTACACGTCCGAAAACCACA